GCAGTGCTGCGTCTGACTCCCTGCCAGCTCCCAGATCTGCTTCTCTGATTGGTTGATGAGGCGCATCAAGCAGATAAAGTTCAATGTTTCCAACTCCAGCAGCTGCTGCTGCAGTCTGTCACGCGCCTCAGATGGTCAGATCTCATGAGACGCTGCTCCTGTTGCTATGGACGCTGCAGGACCTTTTGCTGCATCTTAATGCGCGTCAACCATTGAGTTTGCATGTAGACTAGCTGCTGCTTGCGTTCTGAACGTAGCATAACCGCTATAGTGACCTATATAGTGATTAGAGCAGACATTCGAACACAGATCATGTGACAGAACCAGAGCCCCTGGCTGGATGATTGATTATATATATTATTTCTGCCTGGTAACAGAGCAGAATTTCCCTTTTTTGTTAAATGATGATACCATTAATTCAGACATAAATGGTTGATTTTTTTGGTTGTGGATATCAGCTCCTTTCTGAGATCATTTCTGTGGTTTAATGGACTCCCAGATGAACCAAGCGATCTTGACGGTCTGTTTCTGGGTTTGTTGGACTCTTTAAATGACCCATTTTACACCAACTTCAGAGTTTCACTATAATTTTTCCACACGCTGAAAATATGACCTACTTTAATGGGTTTAAGATTGGGATGAAAAAGTTTTCCTTTCTGCACTGCAAAAAATAGAAATCTCAATAAGTTATTTTTTCTTAAAATAAGTGTGTTTTTCCTTGATTTGAGGAGGTAAGTAAGACACTTTGCCAATGGAACAAGACAATTTCCTTTTAAAATAAGAAAAAACTATTTTATCGTCTTATTTCAAGTAAATATTATCTAACTATCTTATTTTAAGAGTAAAAATACTCATTCCATTGGCAAATCATCTTATTTACCTGCTCAAATTAAGGCTAAATATACTTAATTTAAGCCATTTTTTACTTATTTCTGGATTGTTTTTGCAGTGTTCTGAGTTGAATAAACTCCACAGCATACAGGACCTTCATGTCCAGTTTCTCATCAGGTTCCCATGGCAGCGGCCCCGCTGTCTGGCTGAAGTTGTTTCTAGCTGTAAATTGTTGTTATTGGGCTCCTCAGGACTCCTGCTGGTGGACGTTTCCTGTTCATAAATAAAGGAGCTTCTCTAACTCACCTCTTCCTGCCTGGTCAGCACCCACCTCTGCTTTTACCATGCTTCTATAAATAGACGTAGAGGATTTGGTCTTCCTCAGTCCAAACGGACCTCTGAAGGTTTACAGAGGCTGTCAAGATCCCGTCGTCAGCGCCAGCCGTCAGATAGGACAGAATAGCTGATGTGGAACAGTCAGAGACTTGCTACTGATCCATTCTGCTGATGTGGATCTTAGACCTGACCTATCCTCATCCTTAGAGGAACCAGGTCTCCAGGGAAGGTGGGGCAGCTTTAGCTGCCTGCTCTTGTGAGAGTCAGTAATCCAGTTAGGAGAACGACTGGACCTGTTTTCAACAAACAGCAAAAATGTTATTTGTGTAGAACAGGCATCCCCAAACTCGGTCCTCAAGGCCCCCTGTCCTGCAGGTTTTCGAGGTTTCTCTGCTCCAGCACAGCTGATTTTAATTGAAAGCTGATTAACAGGCTTTTGGTCTACTGCAATCATTATAACCAGCTGTGCTGAAGCAGAGAAACCTCGAAAACCTGCAGGACAGGGGGCCTTGAGGACCGAGTTTGGGGATGCCTGGTATAGAAAGTATTTGGCAAAAAAAAACCACTTTCATATTAATTTAATTCAATTTTGAATCCAGAATATTTAGAACAGATTTTAGATGGGAAAATGGCAGAGCTGATTTAAAAATTTTAATAGTGATAAACCCATAAAACTCTGTTTACATGTTTTAACTCTGTTAACGCTGATAATATTAATTGTGTCTCAGCCCCCCCCTTCAGTGTCCACCATATTGGATCAGTCCATTTGCTGCACATGTTCAGAAAGGTCCAAACAGACAGCAGCAAACCATTTGAAAACAAACCATGCAAAGAGCAGCGTTGCCAACTTAGCGCTTTAGTCGCTATATTTAGCCACTTTTCAGACCCCTCTAGCACTTTGATTTCTAAAAAGCTCCTAGCGCCAAATCTAGAGACTTTTTTCTGCTACTGGAGACTTTGGAGACAACATCTAAAAGCAGCGAACTCTGCTCTCCAGAGCGAGTAGATTGGTAACCCCGCCTCCTGCTCTCCTCTATCTTGTCTGCTGTCATGATTCGTGCAGCTATTATTTCATCCAAATGAAAAATGGAGAACAGATAAGCAGATCATGGCTTGTCTACAGTGAAAAGAAGGACTGGGTTATTTACTTTGGCCTTTTTGGAAACACAGGAAGGAGCAATCAGCTAAGTGAGCTTAGTGCTTGGAAAAAATCTTTCATTCCTTTAGAGACAGCATGAAAAGTCAGCTGAGTACAAAACATAGAGAGGAAAACAAGAAGAAAAGGGACAAGAAGAGAGGGACACAACCTAGAACAGATAATGGATGTCTATTCTCTTAACATTTCTCTATCTCTATAATGGCTCTGTTTTATGTGTCGTCTTCTCCATTCAGAGGGGCCCCTGCCTGTCTTTGCCCAGGGCCCCACATTTCCTAAATCTGCCCCTGATTAAAATGTTGGTTTTCTGTCTCTAGCGGGACGTTAACTCTCTAATCGAACATCTAGGATGACTTCAGGAGTGACGTGATCCCACAGACCAGGTTACTCCTGTTCTCTGATGCAACTAAAGCATCCTGAGTTGAGGAAGAGCCGTTTGCTGTGGCCTCACTGCAGCAGAGCGGCGGTGTCTCCGTGGGATTCAGAGACTTCCTGCCGAGCCACTAAAAGCTTGTTCACATCTGAGGGATGCTGTAGGTAATCAAAGTGTAATGGAGGTTTCATTATGGAGGATGTTTTCTCTGCGGCTGCATTGGTAAATGTTTTATTGGCTCTGAAATCAGTGTCTTCTGATCTTCCTCTTCATCCTCACGTTTGGCTCCATCTCAGATGGCTCTGGGTTCAAAGAAAGCGGCGTGAGATGTTTCTGTGGCTTCTACTGCTGCATCGTTATGCTTGAAGCAGAAGAAGAAGATGAAACATTGTTTGATGGAGCGAGTAGCGAGAGGAAGAGGCAGGAGTCAGGAGGAGTTAGTGAAGATGTTTCTGCAGAGAGAGACAGGAAGTTAAGAAGTAAAAAAAAAGAGAGCAGAGAAAGTGTGGACTGCTGGAAGAGCTGCGGTGAACTGGTGAAAGAAAAGCTCCCATGACCCAATCAGAGACGGGTCGACCCTCTGAGGTCACAGAGGGGCATCGATACGCTGCAGGATATGAAGATTGTTGGAGTTATTATTGTCAGAAAACGGTGTTGTCTTGGAGGACCCAAATGCAGAAACAAGTAGGCAGCGGTGAATTTAAGTGGGTTTAATTAGGTTCGCAGAAACTGAGGCAGGAATCAAAAAGTCCAACAAAATAACAAAGGAACCAGAACCAAGGGAACATCAGGGGTAAACCAAAACTCAAGGAGCCAGGGAGAGACGACGAAGGCAGACAGACGTTAGACGAGGATCCAGCAAACAAGAACTGAAGAGGGAGGGCTTTTAAAGGGGACAGAGACAAAGAGAGGCTAATGAGGGAATTGAAAACAGGTGAGGGCAGGACAGAAAACAGAGCAAGAGAAAGAGGACACAAGAGGGCAGCAGAGGACAATAAATGGAAAAACCTGGAAGACAGGAACTAATAAGAAAACAACAAAATAATAATCAAATAACTAGGATAATGAAACATGGTGAAAAGAAAACTAAACACTAGGAATCAAGGAGTAAGGAAAGATAGAATACTCAAAAGAAAAACATAACAGAAACAGAAACCTAACAATTATGATTTCTGTTTTTATCATTTTATTCATTTATATCTTTTATATTGCTTTTAATCATTTATTTTGCTATGTTACTCTCATCAGTGGAAACAGCGTATGCAGGTCATAAGACGGTCAAATGTTTTGCGAGAATGCTTTCCTGTTTTTCATTTAAGAAACACAGAAGTTAAAAGTTCATGATCCCCGACACCTTTTTTAAAAGCGTATACTGAAACCAGACAAGTTCCCTATCTTAAAAGTTCATGCTATGTCTCAGAGATTGCATAATCGGAACTAACACCGGCTGTTGTAATGTGTTGACTGTTCAATAAAAAAGCCTGCAAGCGTGGAGCAAGACGAAGATGCACAGAGTGATCCTAAAGCTCTGTGTACTTTCCGCTTTGCAAAGCACGGTCAGGAAAAATCTTACACTGTCTTTGTTTCATTCTTTATAGGTTAAAGTCGGGGAAACTTAACAAGATTAACCTCACAACTTTTCAAAGTATCTCAAATTAACTGAATACTAAAGTTAAAAATGATGTGGTGCTGTTTAAGTGATACAGACTCAGTGATTGTAATGAAAATTCTTATTTTTATTTTCTTTACTGATTAACAGCGAACGTATTACTTTCAGGTATAAATAATGATCCAGTAATTATTCCTTGCTGAACTGACTTTTCCTTTAAAGAACAAATGGATTTCTGAGGTTCTGTCTGTAGGACCGCTGCAGCTAACGCTCCCCAGTCTTTCCTGTTTGCTTCCGCCTTCGTGGCTCTGATGGTGGTTCTGTTCACACAAACATCAACCAGCCACTGGGTAATCAGATCAGCTGAACGACATCCTCAGGCTCTAATTAGAGAAACTTCGCAGCAGTCATTTTCTACGGTTTGATCTAATGAGGGAAGCGGCAGGACGGGTCCAAATGTCTCCGTTTCATTAACATAAACAGAAAAGCCTCTGAAGTGGGATGAACCAACGTTGAAACGACTTTAATTGTAGCTGCAGCCTGGAGGCCAGCTGTTAACGGGAGGAGATGTTGGACCATCACCTCCACAGCAGATCGTCCACTTCCTCTCATCTCAGTCTGACTCCTTTCAGAGTTTCTATAGATCTGTCTGTCCTCCTGCCGCCATGAGCTCACAGAGATGTTTCCTCCCACAGGTGGACCGGACAGAGGTGATCCGCAGCTGCGTCAACCCCACCTACTCCAAGGTCTTCACCTTGGACTTTTATTTTGAAGAGGTGCAGCGTCTGCGCTTCGAGCTGTATGACATCAACAGCGGGCACAACGGGCTGAGGGAGGCCGACTTCCTGGGGTCGGTGGAGTGCACGCTGGGACAGGTGAGTCCCTGCAGAGTGTTGGGAGGGAGAGGTCGGATATTTCCGGTCTAGTCCTGCCGATTAGATCCAGGCCTTCTTGGAAAATAAAAAAAAGATCAAGATTATCTTAATGTTCATATTTATTTTTGCAAAGTGATATTTCTTAGTCCCTATGGAACCGTCCATATTGATGGAACCCCCCTGGAAGTGCATGAAGTGGTTTGATCCGGCCACTGTTGCCAACTTAGGGCCTTTGTGGGTATATTTAGCAACCTTTAGGATCCATTTCTACCTAAGAACTAAAATATACCCAGAATACACCACAAAATAAGAACTAAACCAATAAAATTAGATAGCAAAGAAAACATTTATCAAAGTGAAACTGAAAACTCAAAAGAAAACTTAATAGAACCAACACTGTGACAAATAATTTTATCATTTGAATTTAAATATGCATGTTTTTTGTTTGTTTAACTCGTTTTCTTAGCTGATCTAATATCAAAAAAGCTACACTAAAAACAAAAAATCACCAAAGCTTTTATTATTTGGAAATCTGAGTAATTTAGAGGCACATTTAATCAGCTGATTATCTCTCCCTCCTCACATTTCTCCGTTTATGTGTTTCTTGTTTCTCTGTCGCCGACTTTCTTTTCATGACCAACTCTCACATCGGCAACATAAGGAAACGGAAACACCTAAACGTTTACGTCACCAAATCACTGTTAACTGTTGGCCAAACATCTCATAATGAGCTCTGACTATATAAACTAAAGGTCAAAGGTCAAACGTTCTTCTTTGTTTAAACCTTTGCTGCCGCTGTAGACATCGCTTTACGGGGAGTTTATTGCATCAACTCATTGACTCTTCAGCAATCCCTCACACTAAGCATGCTTGTAGCGACAGTGGAGAGGAAAAACTCCCTTTGAACAGGAAGAAACCTCCAGCAGAGCCAGGCTCAGTGTGAGCGGCCATCTGCTGAGGCCCACTGGGGTTCAAGGAGACAGAAGCAGACATAGAAAAAGACGCATAGATACAAAAGGCAACTGTCAACCAGCTCCACAGGCGGTCCCGTCCAGGAAGCACACAGCCAGGCAGACGAGCTCCGAGCCAGCTCCCATGTCAGAGGATGAAGAGAGCACATCCAGTTAGTCACAGTCAGAGAAACAGGACTACACTGGAAAACAGGCCAAGCTCCAACATCTAGAAACAAAGGTGTTGATGGCAGCAGCACAGCTGATATTTCTCTCCAGGATGGAGTCACAGCCAAACAGGAACAGACCAGATGAAGCTACTATGAGAAAAAGCAGAGAGAGCAGAACGTAGATTCTGCAGAGTGGGAGAATAGAGATAGAATGAAGCAGAATGATGAAAAAGGGGTCCCTATGTCCTCCAGCAGTCTAAGCCTATAGCAGCAGAACTATAGAGATAGCTCAGGATAACCTGAGCCACTCTAACTATAAGCTTTATCAAAAAGGAAAGTTTTAAGTCTACCGTTAATCTACATCTTTCATTTAAATCCTAAATCTAAGTAGATCCATGAAATCTTAAATATTAATCTAAAATCTAAATATATAACTTGAATCAAAATCTTAAATCTAAATTTCAAAGTATTTAACTTATATGTTTAGATACAACATATACTATATTTGCTTTAAGATTTATATTTAGTGTTATCTGATAGCTATCTAATCTTTTTTTCTATAGGTCATAAATGTTTTTAAAAAAGCACTAAATATGTAGAAAGTAGCTCAAAAACATAAATGTGATAATTAGTTTTTGTCAACTTTTTATATTGACACACGATATAGATTGTGAAAATGCCTCTAATGTTATTTCAAAAGTCTATTATAGTCACAACCAAGAAGAATTGATTCGCTTTCAGTTTCCTCTTAGTTTTTGGAGCAGAATCTGCCGGTCGGCCAATGGGGGCTAATCAGTTCCTGTGAAGGTAAATGAGGCTGGATCAAATCACACAGGAGCAAGATCTACCAGCAGCGTTCAATAAGTAATGCCCCTGACCCTCTTCCAGTTCTTTGATCTAGCTGAAATTTTGCACGTGCAATTATTTATATGTCTACAGATTAAAGAGCAAATTACAGCTCTGAACTAATTGTGGTTTCTGATTTATAGGTGTTTGAACCAAGCCTGAAATGGAGCCTCCTGAGTGTCAGGCAGTGAGCTGGTTTTTGATTTAAAAGGACGCACACTGCAGCAGACTTGTGATTAAATGAAAGTAACTTATGGTGATGATGCCCCATCTTATGACCTTACAAAATGTGATATGATGGAGCATCATCATCAAGTTTCCATTTCAGACTTGACTGTCATGATTTAATTAAAGGTCTGACCCAAAATGCAGAAGACCAAACAGAGAGACCAGGGAAAAGTTTAACAGGTTTATCAATAATATAGAGATGAGTCCAGTGCTGCTCTGACACTGTCAAACCTGAACTGGAAAGTGAGGGGAAGAAACTGCGGTTAGTTCAGGTTCAGTGGGAAATTAGATTCTTTGGTTTGAATTGGAGGAATGGGTTGCAGACTCACTTCTCCAGAAAAAGGTGTCCTTTATGGAATCCAGTCTGTGTGGAATGTTCCAGGGATAGTCTTGTTTGGTGTTGGGCATACTGGGTTACTCAGACTGCGGTTGTTCCTTGGTGAATAGAGAAGCTGACTGCCACTCAGATTTCCTGCGGTACTTGAACAGGCTGTGGTGCAGATGAAACCTTTGCTCGGTGTGAAGCTCAAACGACCTCTTGGGGAAAATGGGTCCAAACCTCCTGTTTGGAACCCCAGCTCAGTTAGAAGCTCAGTTGATCCTTCCAGGGAGAGAAGGTCCGAACAAATCCAGTTTGCAGGATGACTTCCTGCCGAGAGGCAAAGACAAAAAACAAAGTTAAGACTCAGTTTGACTCAGAAAAAACTCAGCTTGGCTAGAGTTCCCAAAACTGGCAAAACAAAAACTCAGGTTAGGCTCTGCTAAACTAACCATGACTAGAGTACCCAGTATTGGCAAACACTCTGGCATCGAGGTAGTGGCAGTCAGCAGCTTAAGAACGCTCCACAGGTAATGAGGCAACGAGCTGCAGGTGTGCAGGGAGGCCCAATGAGGATGGGGCACCACCCGGTGGAGGAGGAAAGGAAACACAAAAACAGACCACACAAACTGGATTCCTGACATGGACTCATTTTAAACACCTCTAAATCAGAAACTACCATTAGTTCAGAGCTGTAATTTGCCAATTAATCTATAGAGATATAAATTATCGCACATTATCAGCTAGATCTCACCACTGAAAGTGGATCAGAGGCATTACTTATTGAACGCCCCTGGTACAGATAAAGGTTGGTGAACAAACATATTTCTTACTCGCACACCTAACTTGGCAATTAAAGTTGATTCTGCTGCTAACAATTGAGTTAATTTCATATATTTTCATCCTGGTGCGTTTCTGGAGACATTTAATCTGCAGTAATGAAGAAGGTGGAGACTTTTCTGTCACTCTGTGTCCTCATCAGACCAAAGGCGATGCTCTTCTGCACAGGTTTTATTTAATATGCTCATCAAAAACTCAATCAGACACAAAGTCAGGCGAGGAGCTAAGATCCCATGAGATTCTACAATAATTCAGAGTTAGTTTGAAAAGGTTTTACTTTCCTCCGTCTGCTAAGGCACTTTGAGTTCCTCTTTTCATTTTCTACCACTGTGAGTTTAATTTCCTGCAGAGACCTGAGAGAGCGAGGCGAGTCAGTAAACAAGTCAGAAAATAACACCGTACTCTGGGGCGAGACGGAAACCTGGCACAGAGTGTGTGTGCATCTAACATAAGGGCTGTTTTGTCAATAATAAGTTTTATAACTCAGAAAAATATTCAATTCCTTTTTTTCCCCCCCTAATCCAGTAAAAATTCAATAACAGCCCTAGGAAGTTTAAAGAAATCTACTTTTCTGTTTTTCAGTCTTATTCCTTTGTTTCTGTCTGAAAATCATTTTATCTGTCGGGATAACAGCTGCTTATTTCTACAGAACATTAAAAAGATGTCAGAAGTTTTTCTGAATACATAAATCATTTATTGTTGCCTCAAAGATTACAGCTTGACCTGCACTGCAAAAAAAATTTCAATCTAAATAAAATAAGTGCGCTTTTTCTTGAATTAGGGAGGTAAGTGAGACACTTTGCAAATGGAACAAGACTATTTTGATTTAAAATAAGAAAATTGCATTGTTTTATTTCAAGTGCATTATATCTAAGACTAAACATACTAATTCCATTGGCAGATCATCTTATTTACCTACTCAATTTAAGGGGAAATAGACTTATTTTAAGAAATTTTTGCTTATTTTTGCTATTTGTGCTAGAAGAGGCCTGAAATGGAGATTAATAAACACTGCAAAAACAATCTGGAAATGAGTAAGAATGTCTTAAAATTAGTGTATTTAGCATAATTCAAGCAAGTAAATAATAAGATTTGCCAATGGAATGAGTATTTTTACTCTTAAAATAAGATAATTAGATAATATCCACTTGGAATAAGACAATAAAATTGTTTTTTCTTATTTTAGATGTAAATTGCCTTATTCCATTGGCAAAGTGTATCACTTAACTGCTTAATTCAAGAAAGAAATGCTCTTTTTTAAAGAAAAATAAACTTACTTAGATTTCAATTTTTTGCAGTGAACCCGTATGAGTATAGAAGCACTGGGGAAAAGCTGAACGTTAAGTTTAATTTAAATGGTTTATAGTCGGGCAGAACTGTACAAATGATAATTTAGCTTTTTACATTTAGCAGGATTTAACTCTGAAATCCAGTTTCGGGATGTTAAATGAACAGAAAGATGAAGCAGTGGAACAAAATGCAGAGATGACAGGTTTCCATGGCTGCTGCAGCTCAGACAGATGGAAAACTCAGCTTCAAACAGGCAGGAAAAAAGCCGCTCGTTCTGCATTAAATATTCAATCCTGAGTGACAGGCTGAAAATTATTTCAACTACAGTCCATCAAAATGGCCCTTCCCAGTCAAAAG